TAAGTCTGGAGGAAATCAAAGCTGCTCTGACTGCGAGTTCCAGCGGAGGGCTGCAGCGGGGAGCAGCCCAGGGGTCCCGGTCCGGCCGCCCCGCTTTCCCCGCCGCCAGCGCATCCTCCTCCTCTCGGTCCCACTGCCTTTCCCTCCGTCCCGGGGCCGCTCCCGCCCCGCAGCCTCGCCACGATCCAGCCGCTTCCCGCAAAGCCAAACCCCTCGGGGGAGAGACCCGGCACCTCCCGCATCCTCCCGCCCGGCGGAGGGGCCGCGCCCGCGGAGGACGGAGCGGTGCCCGCCCGGCCCGGGAGCCGCCGGCAGGTAACGGGGCTGCGCGGGGCGCGGAGGGAGCTTCGCGCGGGTTCGTCCGCGGGCGAAAGTTGGTGGGTGAGATGCGCCGGGAGGTGGATGGGGGTCACGGCCGGGGGGGCTGCGGGTGCCCCCCTGGGTCGCACCCAGGCAGGAGGGAAGGGCTGCGGGCAGGGCAAGAGGTGACCCCCGCGATGCTCCGCGCGTCCCCGCTCTCCGCACCCGCGCACACCCCTGCACACGCACACGCATCCCCGCCCATCCCCGCGCACAGCGGGAGCCGCGGAACTCCCGGGGCATCCCGCACCCCTCACCATTCTCGGCTGTCGCCTTGAACCCGAATTCCCCTCCCGCACCGCGGGGTGACCCGGCCGGGAGGAGACTTAACTGGAACAGCGGCTCGGTAGCGAAAAGTTGAGGGGCAAAGCTGCGGGTGCGGGCGGGAGGACCCGGGGGGCCCGCGGGGTCCCGCCGCCCCGGGGCCGCTCTGCTCGGGCAGGGGCGCAGCGTCCGCGCCCGCGGACACGAACCATTTTCCCCCGGCTCCCGAGCTCTCCTGCACCGGTGCAATATGGACGCACCGCTCCCTCCTAATTAAATTGCTGCATCATTCATTTTCTGACGCGGGAGCGACATGGGGGACCGGCAGGCGCCGTGCACTGACACCCCCCTTTAGGGATGGGGGGGGGGAGGCGGAGAGAAAGGGCGAGAGGGGAAATCACAACAGTTTGTTCTTGCAACAAGCTCGCACAGCGGTTTTGCAGCAACTCAGAAAAACGACCTCTGGGCGCTCCCCGCCGCACCCCGCTGTGTTTTGGGGGGCAGACCCCCTTTCCCATGCGTGCTGGTCGTGGGGCAGGGCTGGAGTACAGAGCGGGGAGCCCCGACCTTGCAACTTTCCCAAATGCCACCGAATATCGCTCGTTGTCCTTGTCAGGGGCTCCTGCCGTCGGGTTGTGCAGAGGGGCTGGAAGAGGGGAGGGAGAGAGGGGGCTGGGAAGGGGGGAATGCCCCTGGAATGCAGATCAGCGAGCGCTGCGGGGCTCTGCGGGGAGGGATGGACACCCCGCCGGGTCCCCCGCCGGCAGGCAGGGCCGACCCCCGGCCCACGGACACCCGTGTGCCGCCTCTACCCTCGCCCCAGGCCGGCTGTGGCAAAGGGCAGCTCCGAGGGATGCCCCATCCTTTCCGTCCCCGCAGTTTCCCAGAGGGGTGAGGAGTCTCTGCTGGCCGCAGAGGCGGCTCTCACAGGGTTTGTCCAGGCCGTGTCCTCTTGTCCCCCCAGCCAGGAGACAGAAGTCACCGCGGGCCATGCCCTGCATCTCCCTCCAGCCACAGCAACTCACGGCCCTTCTGTCCCTGCTCCACACACCCTGCTGAGAACACGACTGGTGTGAGTGAGACTGGCAGCAGCTCCAGCAAAGGCTACAGCTGATGTAACCAAGATTAGGACGTCACTCGGTTATTAATGATAATTATTATTATTGGCAAGCGAGCTATTTCCTTGCAAAACCCCATCCTGGAGCTGTGGAGTCGGCGGAGATGCATCTCAGCAGGGTGGGAGCTGGCAGGTGCCCTTCAGCTGCCTCTTCCCAGCCTCAGTTGTCATGACTGAAATGCACCTTTCCCCCCTGAGAGCCTTGTGAAAATTAAGGGAGAGAGAGACACAACTTAGAAAAGGATACTTGAAGTGTCATTGTACCTTTCTGAGACATCCTCACAGCATTCCCTTTCCACTGGAAGCGAACGTTCCCCCCACTGCAGTCACTGCACAGCAGGCATTCAGTGCTCCACTCAGCCTGCAGTGTGAACCAGCCCCTTCCGTCTCCAACACAAGTGGCAATGGTGGAGAGAAAGAGGGAGTTTTCTTCCAAAGCTCGCTCTGCCTGTCCAGAAAGAAATATCCTGAGCTTTAATAGTCTCTGTGTCTCCAGCAATCTATAGCAAGGGCAAAAGCAATAAATAGTGCAAGGGCAAGGGAAACTCTCTCGTAATTATTACAAATGGGAGCTGCTTCCCAGCTCTCTCTGTTTTGTCAGAGCTAGGGAATAGTTTAGAGGTTCTGGATTCGAGTGTGGGAAGGGTTTGGACACAGCCAGTGCCTGGGCTCCAGCTGCCTCCCTGCCTAAAAGCTCCTGCTGGGCACTCACCCCCAGCTCCCTGGGGAGGGGAGTCGCCTCCAGCTGCCAGTTATTGGGGCAGGAGAACATGTGGGAACCCAAGTGTGGGAGGGGGAGCAGCGAGGCACGAGCAGGGCTGGGATGTGATTAATCTGTGACGCAAAGCCCACATGAGCTGAGTTTGGCAGAGCTGCCCAGTGCTCCGGGGAGAGATGCCCCTGTGCCCCTGCCGGGGTGCAGGGCACAGCCCACAGCTCAGACAGAGCTTCCCAGGGGGCATCCTGCCTTTGGGGGCCCCTGCAGGGTTACATGGAAATCCTGGAATTAGGAGGGAAGGCCAGAGCCCTGGGCTGTGGGAAATACAGTGCTGGAACTCTCCAGCACACAGAGAGCGGTCCTGGGCAGAAACACTCTCAGCTGCAGAGGCTGCACGAAGCAGACACCTCATAGTGCCATCAGTCTGGGCTGGGCTCAAAGATGAGCTTAAAATTCCTTCACTGGTCTGCTGACCCCTTTACTTGTCTCCCAGAGATTTCTATTTGTCTGGTGTCTTCAGATAAGTGTATTCAATATTGAGGTTCCCCTCCCGCCACTTTTTTTAGGGAATCTCCCAAAGAGTCTTGGGTTTGTATATTATAAATTATTCATGAAGAAATTTTAGCATTTTTGAGTACTTTGATAGAGGGAAATCAGAATAGAGAGTCTTCTCTGAGTAGCAGTAAGTGAAGCAGCTTATGAGCTTCACTTTTCCCCTCTCTGTTCCTTAATTCATTTATCAGACACAGACAGAGAAATAAAATCATCAGATGAAATTTACCTATAGTTCTTCCTTGGAAGAAAATACTCCTGTTAAATCTGTATCATATCATCCCAGTGGTGTTTTAGGGACCATGACCTCTCTTGCTGTTCAACCTCCCTTCAAGGGGACCCAAATTGGATGCAGAGGGTTGTCCTGTCTCCCTCAAGTCAATGCAGAGGTTTCACTGGTTGCTGGAGGGTTGTGTTTGGACTGTGAGAGCTCAGGCCAAGGCTCAGGTGCCCCTGAGGTGCCTTCAGGTGTTTCTGACTGCTCCTTTTCTCCATCCCTTCCCAGTATCTGACACACCATACGTAAGCACAGGCACAGATTATTTGGACTGCATAAGCATTGGTGAGTACTCATGAAATGGAGGAAATGTAAGACTTTTAAACTGTGCTTTTCCAGCTGGAATCCTTCTGGCTGGAGAATCTTCTTATGTCAAACCCATGCTCCTGGCCACAATTTTTCTCAGTCACTTCATTATCAGTTATTTATTAACCTGTGGAATAGCTGCTGATTTTTTCCCAGTCCAGCTGATTTCGATGTGCTATTTTTAGATGAAGTTAAGAAATAACAATGCACCCAATTATATTAGCGTGGACTATTTCTAATAT